AGGAAGACATTGGAAGTTATATTTAAATATACATGTTAAACACATAATAGATACACTTAGTACAGACTTTAAAAGGTATAAAGGAGTATACATGGTAAATTTTCACACCTATCTGCCACTTACCCAGACTCAACCTTGAACACAACCACAGTTCCCAGCTTCTGATATATCCTTCTAGAGATGGTCTATGTAATGTAGTTAAGTTGCTTCTTAATGCAAATGGGAGCATATTATGACTCTTTTAGCAAGTTGTCTTGTTGTTGTTGTTAAGTGCCGTTGAGTTGGTTCCAACGCATAGCAACCCTTGAAGGTATGTTAACAGAATGCTGTATAAAGCTGCCTATTAACAGTTCCATAGTATTTCATTAATGAATGCAATAAGTGAATGTTGAACAATCCTAATGATCAACATTTAGGACATCATAGACTTTTTGCTATTATAAACACTGCTACAATGAACACGTTTACATTTAAAAAATGCTAGTATATCTATTAAGTCTTAGAAGTGTTATTGGTGGGTCAAAAAAATAGATTTTAATTCTGATGGTATTTTCAAATTGCTGCTATAGAAGTTATATTAACTTATATGATTATCAGCAGTGTCTTATATGAGCTTGTTTCCCATGGTATTGTGACACATCTTGCTATTTCTTGATGACTGAACAACCAACCATCTTACTGTGGGGTGGCTATTTTTATGTTTAAGCATTATTTGATCTGTAAAATCAATTCGTATCTGTTGTCCCAGACAAAAATGTTTTAATAATGTAGAGGCAGAGAAGGCCATTCTAAATATGTCACAAACCCAACAGCCACAAAAGACAACTACAATACAAAATCAGAACACAATAAAATGAAAAGGTTCATTGCATAAAGGGCTAGTTATTTTAAATATAAAGAGAGCTCCCATCAGTCAAAAAAGACCCAACATCCAATAGGAAAACAGGCAAAGGTCTGATCTAGCAGTCTACAGAACGTTGCTGTGAGGTGCCTCCTAGTCAGTTCCAACTCATATATATCCTATGCAAAACAGAGCAAAACACTGCCGGGTCCTGTGCCAAACTCAAAATTGTTACACTTGAGTCCACAGCTGATGCAACTCTGCCAATCCATCTCATTGGGTCTTCCTCTTTTTTTCAATGTCCCTCCACTTAGTCAAGAATGATGTCCTTCTCCAGGGACTGGTCCCTCCTGATACAACACATCAGCAGTATGAGAGATGAAGTTTTGCCATCCTGGTTTCTAAAGACTTTTCTGGCTGTACTTGTAACAACACACATTTGTTTGTGCTTCTGGCAATCCATGGTACTGTCAATATTCTTCTTGAACACCATAACTCAAATGCATCGATTCATCTACCATGTTCCTTATTCACTGTCCAATTTTCACATGCATATGAGTTATTGAAAATACCATGGCTTGGATCAGGTGCACCTTACTCTTCAAACTGCCATCTTTGCTCTTGAATACTTCAAAGAGGTCTCATACAGCAGATTTGCCTAATACAATACTTCGTTTGATTTCGTGACTGCTGCTTCCATGAGCATTGGTTGTCGACCCAAGCAACATGAAGTCTTTGATTACTTCAATCTTTTCTCCATTTTCATAATGTTAGTTATTGGGCCAGTTGTGAAATTTTTGCTTTTTTACACTGCAATGGAATCCATAATGAAGGCTGGAGGCTTTGATCTTCATCATTAAGTATTTTAAGTCCTTTCTGATTCCAGCAAGCAAGGTTGTTTCATCTCCATATCACATGTTGTCTTTCCTCAAATCTTGATGCCATGTTCTTATTCATATAATCTAGCTCCTTGGATTATTTGCTTATCATACAGATTGAATAAGTGTGATGAAAGAATACAACCCTGGCATACAACTTTCCTGATTTTAAACCATTCAGTAGTCCCTTGTTCTGTTTGAACAAAAGTCTCTTGGTCTGTGTACAGGTTCCTCATGAGCACAATTAAGTGCTCTGGAATACCCATTCTTTGCACTGTTGTTTGTAGCTTGTGAAGATCCACACAAAAAGCCTTTGTACAGTCAACAAAACACAAGTGAACATCTTTCTGGTATTCTCTGCTTTCAGCCAAGTTCCATCTGATGTCAATAGTGATATCCCTAGTTTCACGTCCTCTTCTGAATCTAACTTTAATTTCTGGCAGTTCCCTGTTGACGTGCTGTTGAATTACCTTCAGCAAAATTTTAGTTGCATGTGGTATTAATGATATTGTTCAATGAGTTCCTTGCATTCTGTTGAGTAATGTTTTTTTGGAATGGACACAAACACGGATCTCTTCTAAGCGGGTGGCCAGGCAGCTGTCTTCCAAATTTCTTGGCACAGATAAGTGAGTGCCTTTAGTGCTGCATCAATTTGTTGTTATGATTTCAATATGTATTCTGTCAATTCCTGGATCCTTGTGTTACGCCAATGCTTTCAGTGCAGCTTGGACTTCTTCCTTCAGTACTACTGGCTCTTGATCCTATGCTATCGCATGAAATGATTGAACATCAACCACTTCTTTTTGGTATAGTGATTCAGTATATTCCTCCCATCTTCTTTTGAAGCTTTCTGCATCATTCAATACTTTGCCCATAAAATCCTTCAATTCTAAGTTGAGGCTTGAATTTTTTCTTCAGTTCTTTCAGCCTGAGAAACACGGAATGTATTCTTACCTTTTAGTTTACAAACTCCAGGTCTTTGCACATTTCATTATCTGTCTTCTCGAGCTGTCCTTTGAAATCTTCTGTTTAGCTCTTTTACTTCCACTTCTTCCATTCACTTTAGTACCTCTATGCTGGAGAGCAAGTTTCAGTCTCTTCTGACATCCATTTTGGCCTTTTCCTTCTTTCTTGTCTTCTTAATGACCTTGTGCCTTCTTCCTGTATGATGCTTTTGCCATCATCCCACAGCTTTTCTGGTCTTAGGTCATTAGTGTCTAATCCATCAGATTTGTGCTTGAGGTAGTCTCTAAATTCAGGTAGGATATGCTCAGGGTCATATTTTGGCTCTTCTGGACCTGTTTTCATTTCTTTAGCTTGAGCAGTTGGTGATCTGATCCACAGTCAGCCCTAGTCTTGTTTTGGATGCTGATATTGAGTTTTTCCACCTCTTCCCACAGATGTGGTCAATTTGGTTCCTGTCTACAAATTACATATACTTCTCTGTTTTTGATGTTTGAACTTTCTTTTCTTTGAATTTCCATTTCTTTTCTTTTCTCCATTTTTCTGTTGAATTGTTATTGTTTCTTACTGATTTATAGTTCTTTATAAACTCTGAATTATTTCCCTTTTTTAATTGATCATTTTCATCAGCACACATTCAGTAGTAGCTCTTATCTAGAAAGAAAAAAAAAATCCTTTAACACTGCAGCTGCTGCCCATTTCTCTGCTCTCCTTTATGGAAAACTTCTCTAAGGTCACCTCTGTTTGCTGCCTCCACTTCCTTAATCTATGATCTTTTTCCTCAGCTCACTCTAGCTATGTCCGCTCCACGCCACTGAAACTGCTCGGTCAAGGGCTCCATCAGTCTTCATTTTTAGTTCTCATTGTACTCAACCTTTCAGTAACATCTGACATAATTGATTGCTTTTCATGATATCATACTTGGCCCTTTTCTCTGTCTACATTACTTTCTAGGGGATTCATACAGTCTTCTGCTTTTAAAAGCCAGTTCGATGGTGGCTGATTCCCAAATTTATTTCTCTGTCCTGATCTCAGAGCTCCAAATTCATTTATCCAACTGCCTATTTGACATTTGTACTTACACAGTTAATAACCATCTCAAAAACATGTCCAAAATAGAACTCTTGGATTCT